GTCGTGGGTTTCGGCTCTTTTCAGACCGACTAAATAGAGATGGGGATGGTGGAGGTCTAAGCACCGCACTGAATCCGGGACTCAGGAGCGGGGGCTTGGAGTCCAAGTTTAGACGGGGATCTGGACCCCGTGACAGGAGAGTGGTGTGTTGGTCCGGCTTGTGCCTGAGGTACACGCGGGGCATGTGTTTTGGGGTACCCAGCTGAGCACATTGATTCACGAATTGCTGGCGATCCGGTATGGCTTGTCTATAGTCTAGCACCGTAGTAAGAACTGAAAGATAAAAGATGGTGAAATAGAACTGTTTGCTCAACTTCTGCTTGAAAGTAGAACATGTGCTTACATAGAATGGCTAGATAATAAAATAATCATGACCGCTAATAATAAACATATATAAGGATGCACTATTAGTATTGCTTTCTGCAAAAAGGAACCCAGCAAACCATAAAGCTTATCATATTCCTTAGAGTCGGGAAATTATTCTCACTAGTCGGATAAGTCTTGCGAGTACATTGTGTACTCAGGGTTTATTTACCCATATTGCAGGTGCAGCTTGAGGAGTTGCCGTTGTGTGAAGGATTCTTCTGGTGGGCACAGACGGATCCTTGTATATTATCGATAGATGTTTCTTTTTATTCCGCTGTTTAATTTTCGCACTCTAAATATGGTCCTGCGATAATGTATTTCTAAGAATTCTGGATGTATGAAATGGACTAAGAAATGTAAACTCGTTCTATTTATTGAATCCTGAGGGAAAAATGTAGATTATTCGGGCTCTCTCTTGGGGTGTGCTCGACGAAATCCACCCGATGTAGCTCGCTCTCGGGGTGCTTAGTGTCTAGTGGAAGACAAACGCCTCCGTAAATGCGTTATTTCGGGTGGTTCTGCCACAGTTTTATTGATACATAGTAAACTCAGGTTTCCTTTTTTTGCTTGCATCTCTTTTGTAATTCCGACTTTCATATTCTTGTGAACCATAATGACGTGTATAAGGATTTGTTTCAGCTCACTTATGCCCCTTAAATATTATGTTAATCATTGTTACAAGTCAGCACACAATGGGAAAAAAGTATTGCTCTATGAGCATTCTTGATTGTATGCAAGACATAGCATCTTTCTTTTTAAGATCTAACAAAGTCTGTTGTCTTCAGCATTAAGCTTCTGGTTTGCTCCTTTGATTAGTCGATTCCATCTGTATCCTTGTATTGTTTCAAACATTTCCTAAATCTAATGTCCTGCTCTTGCACTTCCCATCTGCCTGCACACACTGGTCTTTCTATTTACATTGCTATGTTTTTACCATTGTCTTTATAGCTGAAGAAATAGCAAAGAAACAAAATCAGTTCCTGGGCCTTCTCGGTGACCTTCCTTCTGTCGTCGTGGCGGCGGAGGTCGTCGGTGAAGGGCTTGAGGAGGCCCTCGACGGCGACAGAGTGGCCCTCGCGGAAGAGGTCGGGCAGCGCGCCCTCGTAGCGGACGAGCACGTCGGTGATGAGGTCAGTGACGACGAACTCGATCTCGGGGGAGGACGGCGAGGGGTGCGCGACGGAGCCCTCAAGGACAAGGCCCGCAAGGCGGACGCGGGACTTGGAGGGGTCAGCGGTGAACTTGACGAGCGCGTCGGTGGGCGTGACGTAGAAGACGAGCTGGTCCTGAACGTGGCGAGCACGGTGACCACGAACCTAGCCGTGCAGGCGAAGGCGAGCCCGTAGGACCAGAGGCGGCGCACGGGCGGGAGGAGGGCCCCGACCGCCACGTGGCCGAGGCGAAGCTACGGAGGAAGGGGCCGAGCGGGGTGGCGGCGGCCGCCGTGGTCGTGCGTGGGGTGGGGATGGGTCCCGGTGTGTGGAGGAGGGTGGAGAGGGTGTCGGGTTAAAGCATCACCTCGGCGCCAGGATCTTTAGCGCCAAGCTCGGCGCCAATAACCACGCGCGCCAAACTTGGTGCCAAGATCGACGGCGCCGAGCTGGCTGCTATGTTAGCGTCCATCCCGTCAACGTGGCCCCAACCTAGGTGCCAAACCCTCTAGCGCCGAGATGTGTAACCTTGGCGCCACCAACGATGGCGCCGAGCTAATGGTCCAGATTTTGAAAGCATACCTCCAAGGACATATTTGTGAATAACATTCAAAAAAAGGGCCAAAAAATAAAAAATTCGGTCGATGGCGTCACGCCAGCCGTCAAGCATATCTGAATACTTAGCAACTAGAGATAAACATAGAATCCTAGAAATATAATAGGTTTAGTTCTAGTATTCCACTTTGAGTAAACTTAAGCCGTTTTATATAACGAACATAGCTAGCAGCCTAAGCGCTTAAGCAGTTCTAATAATTTTCCACAAGGTATCTAGTATAACATGGTTTTCTACTACACTTGGTCTCTCTTTCTGTCTCAAAAAGCCCCACCCTACCCCACCCCATGAGCCACCGCTGCCCATCTCGTGAATGCTAACCTCAACTTTGTCGCCCAAGATCCCCCCCCCCATTCGCCTATGTTTTGCCGCCTACCTGGAGAGCCTGGATGCTGTCATCCTTGCATATTTGGACGGTCGGGACCTACTAGAACACTCCTATATGAGTGGGACACACATTGCCACTCCCCCCAACATTGAGCGACTCTCTCTCCCATCGATGGCCAGGCCTGTTCGTTTGGCTGATAAGCCATGGCTGAAAGTACTGTTGGCTCATTTGTTGTGAGAGAAAAATAATATTCGTTGACTGAAAAAATACGACTTATAAGCCAAACAAACAGGGCGAGGATCCACGTGCGACACCCAACGCCATACCGCCCCCCGCCATCTGCCCTTGGCAGATCTAGATCTGCCCAGTGAGTCGAATAGGAGGATCCTGGCTTGGTCTTCTCATAGCGCGCTAGGTCCGCTTGATGTTTGTGGTCACCACCTCAACCACAAATGACGACGTGATGTGACCCTCAACGATGATACCAGTTACGACGATGCCGCGTCAGTACCCATGGAGTCTTGCGAGGCACATGGAGTTGGAGCACGAGACCAGTGGCGAAGTTAGAGCTAAAACGAAGGGTTGCAGCACTTAAGTAGTACAAAATTCAAATTTTCTAATGCAATATATATGTTTCCAGAAACTTATATATAAAAGTAGTGAGAGGCTTGCAAAATCAATAAAGGTGTATATTATCTTGTTCTCAAGCTTAAATAAGTATTTATCGCATATCTGTGTAGAGTTTTGGTATAGAAAATTATATGCTATCAATTATTTGCCACCTGTAAAGATTGTTATTTGGACGATTGTTCAGAGGTGGATTCTACTGCTTGCTTAAAAGAAAATCATTTTTGCCCGTCCGTGGTGCCAAGGTATCCTCTGACATCTAGAAAAACAAGATGCTTGGTTTACGATTGAAGTTCCACCTTGCAACATAGCGTAATTTATTTTGCGCCTTAATTTGGCTATGTGTAATTGCATCGACCACGCCAACAACTACATCATTATGACTAGCTTTCTACAGCATGTATCAGGGCACTCCCAATGTTAAAAACCACCATAATTTCCATAGTGTCAAAACTCCACTGCTAGAAACCATCCTTCCCAATGCATAGTTTATATGAGTAGTTTCCATGGAAAAAAAAGACATTTAATGAACACTTGTATGCAACACATATAAACAAGGATCAGCTGTGCCGAACATCATGTAGCCTTTCTTGATGCATGCAGTGTAGTAAAGCTCAGTGGATCACCGCATCATGGAAGCAATCGTGAGAACATACATCATTTGGTTTCAAAGTAAAGTAGGCAGTAACGTGGATAAGTTTAATAATTACAATAGTAAACCATATAAATTTAGGTAGCAATGCCGATCAGCCGTTCATCCTCCTTCACATGAAGTCCCATGTCCACAGCAACTCCATGTTTGAGACACAGTTCAGACTTTGCACGTGCGGGTAGCTGTAAGTCTCCGCAAAGAAAAGAGAAACATGACAGCTAGAGATTACCCTATCAAAATGACTCCCAGGTTATAAGTCTGCACAAAGAAAAAAAATGTTCAGATGCAGCATCATCAAAATTGATGTAAAATTGATACACACACTGTTGATGTTTCAGTTTAAGAAATTTAACAGTTTCAGTTTCAGAAAGCTAACAGTAACTGAAGATGCTATATACCTGAAGGCCTTGTTCACGAGGTTTCAGTTTCAGAAATTTAACAGTTTCAGTTTCAGCAATTAAACAACAGTTTCAGTTTCAGAAACTTCGGACTTTCTCAAGCTGCTACTGCACTATCAAGAAAATCAGAGAAGGATTATCGGTGTCATAATGCAGCTTGCTAATAAATATTGATAATCACTAACATAGTTTCTACAGATGTACGTAGGTATTCAGATATGCTGACCAAGGTTTCTTCATCAACATATCTACAGATGTACGTAGGTATTCAGATATGCTGACGACTTACCCGGTGATGTTGGCCATCATCCACCAACGGGAGAAGCGCCAATTGAAGGAGCATGCCTGCCATGAACAGCAGCAGCTGCTGTTGCAGCACTACAGCCAGCAGGAAGACGAGGCCGGCGCAGGAGAGGACGAGGCCGACGTGGCCACGCTCACATCAGTTTTCTTCGTTTCTTCTCCCCTCGATGCTCACGAAGACGTTGTTTTTAAACAAGAAACTGTTTCTACAAATTTCCCTCTCTCTTCAATAACTCTCTTTCCACGTCAGCAAAAGGCTCAGATGGTAGGATAATAAATGCACATATATATTACTATAGTTTCTGCATTGAGTGTCTAAAGTTATTTAAGCCCTTTAATTTTTTTTAAAAAAAATACGAGATTTTTAGTGCAAACATGCGTATATGTTTCCGAACGGGACATGTGCCTTTCAGGTCTAGACGAGTGCTGCTCGGGCCAAACCTCACCAAGGCCCTCACTCTTGGAGGCGGAGCAGGTTGTGGAATCCCCACCCCCGGTCCAGGAAGGGGCAGACGGAGGCGGCCCCGCCATTCCGGCTGCTGTTGGCACAGCGCCTGACGCGATGGCCGTGACGTCGACCGAGAACTTCATCGCTGCATTCAAGAAGCCGCTCACGATGCCTGTCTTGTCGTCACCTCCACGACTACGGCTAACCCGGGCGGCCAGAGCGCGGGCAGGGGAGCTAGACGACTCGGAGCTCGTCCCCAAGAGGAGCGCTAGGCTTGCCGCCAAGAGCAGGCATAGGGAACCGAAGCCAGAGGCTCAGGCGCGGAAGGTGATGATGAAACGTCTGGGACTCAAGGAGGTGGAGACTGAGCTACTGGACAAAGCCTCCTTTGAGGAATTCCAAACCGCCGTCGCCCTCCCCCTGTCGACATCAACACGGGAAGCCATGCAGGTTCTCTTCCCGGGTAGGAACCAGCGGGCATAGTCGCTCGCTTTTGTCTTGCTGGTTTGGTCGCAAAGCACCTTTCCTATGTAATTTCTCTTAGTGAATCCAGTAGCTAGGTGGCAAGGTGTGCGTCGTGTCATGAAGCCTCCTCGCTTGCTTGAGCGCGCACAGTTGTACTGTTAACTGTTTTCATCTTAATGAAAAACGGGTGAATGGCCTGATCGAGAAAAAAGTATATGTTTCCGAACTAAACAAGGAGTAGGTTTTAACGTTGATCGGAATTAATATTGTCCTATAAAACACCATGTTTCTCGGACCGGTGTAGTATCACATTGAGGCATTTATTAGCTCTAACCTCTCAAAATAATCAAGTCTAGCCATGTATCGAAGGTTTTCTCTCTCTCGCGGCCAACATGCAAAAACCCGTTGCCGTCGGTGAACTCCTTGGCGTCGACGTCGATGACGTATCCCAGAGTCTACGCCTTCTCTGCTGCGCGGCTGCGCCCTCTTGTCTAGCCGCGACACAACGTGCTCGTGCCAAGTTGCTAACGCTCCCCAAGACACCACAGAGGCCAACCATTAGGCCATGACCCATGTGACCGGGTGTACAGCATGACCGGCTCGGCTGGCCGCCGATGGGTTGCTGGGGTACGTCCAGATCTAGTCGCGTTGTCGACGGACCGGCCGGGCGTCGGTCTCCGTCGTCGTCGCCGTGTCGAGCTTCAAATTGCGTGGGCACATCGGCATCGCTGCGGACTAGAGCCGTTGTCGTTGGATCTTCTCTCCACTCGGTTCTGCGCCGCGCTTCTTTATTCCCTCGAGTATCCACTACTCGTTCTGCGATCTCTCACGGGCCATCAGTCATCACCCATATCCTCTGCCATTTGTTTAAACCAACTCGCAAAGGCTGAAGCTTGCCCGTGAATGATTGATCGTTATGCATGCTCTTCCTGATGACTGACACGAGGTATGCGTGCTCCGGCCCGTCTGCTGGTTGATGTGCGAGAACTCTAGTCAATGACGCGTGACAGGCAATTATGCGGGTGCTTGCTTCGGTGAGGTCGACTATAGGCGCCTGGCGCAATTGACTGATCGACGTCTGCTGTGCTATCTATAAACGTACGTAGCCTGTTCGCGCGTCGTCCACAGTCCAGACTCGCCAGCTACTATACCCCGCGGGATAGACAAGCATAGGAGTACGTGGCTGGGAGCCGGGGAGCAAAATAGCTAGGCAGGCTGCGCGCCGCTGAGGCCTCAGGGGAGGGAGAATGGCGACGGGCAGCAGACCGGCCGTCACTTGCTGCGCCGCCGTGCTGCTCGCCACGGCGCTGCTGATCTCCGCACCGGGCACCACAGGTTCGGCTCGTTCTCCTCCCCCTCCTCCTCTTCTTCCCTGTTGTTCTGCTCGTGCTCCGGGACTTCCCGTTGCGTGCTGGCCAATGCAGCCCCATCTGCTTCGGTACGGTCGCCGATAGCTATACGGCAACAGGGAGAAGCGCACACATGGATATGGAGCTAATGCCCTCTCAGGCCAGGCCAGCCACTGTGACACTCTCTGCTGAATCATGCCGAGCTCCTTGATGAGAAATCTGCTCGGCAAATTAGTGTTACCATCTTAGTTAACGGCAATTCAATCTAAATGGATCCGGTGGGTAGATTTTTTCTTAGACGAAAGAAGAATTATATTAGATAATGTTACAAGCACTCTGGAATGCACTATATATAATCAGAAACATATTTTTCATATAAATTGTACCTACGCTGTGAATAGCTCAAAACCAAATCTCTATGATACTTCGTATAGATGACCGCACAGACAAACACTTCGAAACTGCAATTGGCATGGTTTGATGCCGTCAAGAACCTTACCCTTTTTTCTATACCAACCACTTTTGGACAGTGTTTGGATTGTCATGCCAAAGAAGTTTTGCAAACTCACGGTGCAAACCTTTGGCGGCAAATAAAAGCGCTAGCAAGGACTCTGTCAAGATTCAGTCCTATCCACTGTTGATGTGGCAATCTGGTGTCGGTTGCATTTTCTTTTGTGGTTTGTTCAACATGCATGCTCTAGATGATGATATATCTTTAAACAAGACATCTAATCACCAAACCTTTTAAATATACTTATTGTGACTGCATCTAATATCCAAGGTCCAAGCTTACTTACTTTATGCTACATTGTTACTACATTTCTTCTAAACTGAAAGTTGTTTTAGTTTTTTTCTTAAGAGAGACTTCTCTAGTTCGGACAAGTTTATGAAAAATATTAACATAAATATCAACACTTATTTGCTATTCGTCTTTGATGGGGGGCCCTTTTTTGTTTATTTGCTTTGCAGAGGCTTATGATTCTCTAGATCCAAACAGCAACATCACTATAAAATGGGATGTTATGCAATGGACTCCTGATGGATATGTCGTGAGTACCACTCCCACTCCTATTGTATCCCTTTTCATTTAAGTTCGATCTAAGTAACATTGGCTTATCTTTCCTGTTCAATAGCCCGGCCGACAACACTACTAATTGCAGAATTAGAAACATACGTGTTACATGTATATAACAAGAATCATATATCAGGCTCCTCATTTTCAGTAAAACGGCCTTGTTCGCATGTCTTATGAGCCGTACTGTTTCAACGAAGAAATAATATTTTTCTCTCACAACAAATCAGCGAACAATACTTTCAGCCATGACTTTTCAGCGAAGCGAATATGACCGTCTCATGCAGGCCGTTGTCACAATGTACAATTACCAACAATTTCGGCACATTGGGCCACCCGGATGGCAGCTTGGGTGGACATGGGCAGAGAAGGAGGTTATATGGTCAATGGTTGGGGCTCAGACCATCGAACAGGGTGACTGTTCACATTTCAAGGCAACATTCCCCACAGTTGTAAGAAAAAATCCTGTGGTCGTTGATTTACTTCCAGGCACACCATACAACATGCAAATTGCCAATTGCTACAAGGCAGGAGTTATAAGTACATTTAGGGCCCGTTTGGCACGGCTTCCGCCGGCTCCGGCTCCGCCTGACAAAAGCTGCGCTGATCACTGTAGCGATAAGACGGTTTTCTCTCGCCACCTATTCTGTGTCACTGTAGCGCGGGTACTGTAGCAATCGGGAGATAAAGCCGGAGAAGCCAGGAAAACGAGCTTCTCCGGCTCCAATGAACAGTGCGAGTGTCAGTGAGAGGGGAGAGGAGGAGAGAGGAAAGCTGCTTCTATGAACAGTACGCTACAGTGTCGGTGTTAGGGAAGCCCGAGCCGGCGGAAGCCGTGCCAAACGGACCCTTAGTCAGGACCCAGCAAATGCTGCTTCCTCCTTCCAGCACAGTGTAGGTCTTGCTGGGACTACCACTAAGACTGTCAAGGTGCCAAAGAACTTCACTCTAAGGACTCCTGGCCCCGATTACACCTGTGGGCGTGCTATCGTTGGCAACCCTTCTAGGTTTTTCTCCGCGGATGGGCGTAGGTTTACCCAAGGTCTAAGTAAGTTGCACATCTGACGAGCCTTACATTTTGCTTGCCATCAGTTCTCTTTGATAAGGTTTGCGGAAAATAAGTTATGAGCTAAATGTTAGATTGATCTCTTCCAATTGGCCCAACGGCCAATTAGGTCCTTGGATCCGCACCCTGATCAGGGGCGCCCAACCGTTTCATGGTTGGCGGGGCCCCGTTGCACAGCGCCATAAAAAGGGAGGTGGGGGCCGGGGCACAAGGCACGAGGTTCACCTAAGCCGCCAGACGCCCCACCTATAGTCCCTAAACCCTAGCCGATCTAGAGAGGGGGTGTTGCCAGCGACGGGAAGCTCCGCCACTAGCCACCGCCGCCTCTGCACCGTCACCACTGCGACAGCGCCTTCGCCACCGGGCTTCCCTGCGTCACCGTCAGCAATCCCATGGCCAGCTCGTCTTCTACGAAGGCGGCTGATGGTTTGCACCTCCTCAACCCCCCCTCTCTCTATTTGTTAATCCCGTACTAGTATACCTTCTAGGACTCGCTGTTTATCCTAAATGTAAGTATACATGCTAAATCTACGGCTAGTGATCCTGTTTTATTCTATCAATGATATCAGTCGCCTAACTAGGCGTAGATCTAGCTTCTCGAGGTAGAAGAAATTAGAAGGAGCTGATTCAAATCGAATCGAACTCCAACCTGAAACCCTAACCCTAGAAATGGATCGGACGAAGGAGGGGAGGACCTACCTGGACTCTTCCCCGTGCGTCACCACCATCGTCGCGCGGGAAGGAGCTCTACCACGCACGAGCCCGGTCGAGGGCACCGTCACAAGACCGCTCGACGGCGGCGCGCTCACCCACTAGGCGAGCGCGCACGTCGGCGAAGGGACCCGTGGTGGTGCCGAATAGATCTAGGGTTGCGGGTGAGCCCACCACAGCGCGTGTGAGGGTTTAGGGCACCGTTGCCCAATCCGCTCGACTGCAGCGCGCTTAGTCTAGGGCGAGCGCGTGCGTCGACGAGGGGACCGGCGGCGGCGCCGCTCCGCTGCTCCATTTCTCTACCGACTGCTGCGCTGAGGAGAAGAGAGGGGCATGGTGAAGAGAGAGAAAGGGAAAACGCGAATGAGCTAGGGTTTCTCGGTAGAGGCCGCGGCCGGGGTTTTGATCACGCGGCATCAATGCCTGGCCATCGGATCTCAGTGAACGGCGGCGATTCGCTGGACCTAGATTCGGCCTAGGCGGGCGCGCGCGGTGGGCGACTTTGCCGGCCCAGGCCTAGGTTGCGGCCTAGGAAGGCGCAGTGCACGCGAGAACAGTGCAGGCCAGGCCGAATTTCGCTGTTTCAACGGGCTGGGCTATATGAACCGTAAACACTGAGTTATTGTTTTATTCATTTTTAGAAGCAAATTTTGATGATTTTTTTGTCCAGTTTTAATCTCTGTCAAAATTTGAACCACGGGATATTTTTTCAGAGAGTAGATTAGCACAGTTAAATGCTTCTGAAAAGTAGATACATAATTTTTTCATGTTTTCGCTACAAGTTAAAGTTTATCATTTTCTAATTAAATTCAAACCAACGGGAGAATTTAATTTGAAGAGTAGTCATTTTTAGTCAGTAAATTATAATATTGTTATTTTTTTACCAACGTTGATAATAGCAATATTATAATGTTTATTCATAAGTTTGTCATGCATTAATTCTATTTCTGCCCAACTGTGATGTAGAATTAGTGTATAAGAGTGTTGTATGTTTTAATTTTGACCAACGTTAAATTAAAGCATGCAATTATGATGTCATATTTTTCTCACTATCTCTGATGGTGTTTTTCAGGACTCAACCCAATGGCTTTTATCTCGCACATACCGCCTCTTGAATGGGGCAACTACAGGGTATGGCAAGAGAAGTATGAACTAGCACTTGCGCTGTCTGAAAATGACCTAGCGCTTACCTCCCCGTGTCTGACTGAGCCAGTGGACTCGGTGAGGAAAGATAACGAGACTGATGCTGATTTCACTGCTCGACAGCGAGATCATGCAGAAGTGCGGATGAAGTATGATCTCGAACACAAGAAATGGGACATTTTAAACAGCAAGTGCTTGATGGTGGCTAAGTCCACAATTTCAGATGCAATATGAGGGTCTATCCTAGATTGTGATATCGCCACAGAGTATCTTAAGAAGGTGGAGAGTTAGTTCACTGGCTCTTCAAAGGCTTATTCCAGTACTTTGATTAAGAAATTGTTCAATGAGAAGTATACTGGTGGCGGTATCAGAGAGCACATACTGAAGATGAGCAACACGGCTTCAAAGCTGAAGCCAATGGATTTGGGGCTCAAGGATGAATTCCTGATTCATTTGGTTTTTGCTTCCTTGCCAAAGGAATATGAAACTTTTATTGTTAATTACAACATGCAGCCCGATAAGTGGGATACAGAGAAGCTCATCGCAATGTGTGTTCAAGAAGAGGAGAGGCTGAAATCCTTACAGGGTGACTCTGCTAACCTTGTGAAGGACAACAAAAAGAAGAATTTCAATAAGAATGCCAAACCTCAAGGGAAAGCCCCTCAGAATGACCACCATCAGAAGAACAACAACGCTCAAATTAAAAAGGATCAGTGTAAATGGTGCAAGAAGCATGGACATTACCAGAGGGACTGTCCAGACTTCCTGAAGAGACTTCTAAAGAGAGGGATTCCATACGAGGAGAACCCTGCAAAGAGGAGAAAGAAGGATTAAAGTAGCAAATGGAGTTGAAACTGAAGTTGAAGCCATTGGAGATCTCTCTCTAGAATTAGATGATGGATTTAGACTTCAGCTTTCAGATATTCTTTATGTACCCTCTTTGCATAGAAACTTAATAAGTGTCTCATGACTTGACGATGATGGTTATGATTGCCATTTTGGTAATGGCAAATGTCGGATTGTGTATAATAATAAGTATGTTGGTCTTGCCTTCCGACAAGACAAGCTTTATTTATTATCACTTTCTGAGAATGTGAATGCTGTGAGCACTGAGAATGAGAATGTTTTTGAAACATCCTCAATTTTCCGCGAAGGGAAATTCCACAGAATGAATTATAATATGATGAAACCAATAGTTGATTCCATCATATTATTATATATCAGTCGATATCACTGTCATACATCATAAGATTACAAGATAAAAGGTATTACATCACTGAGGAACACACCTATTACAGAGTTAATCTAGTGGAAGTCTATCGAGTGAAGGCTCCTCCTTCACGGGCATCATCAGAGTTGGCGTAGTGCAGCATAGATTCCATCTTCGAACCAAACTTGAGCATAGGCTCGAGACCTCCTAATCCTTCTAAAGTTAACACCTCTGAGAAGCAGGAAATCTGCATACCGCGAGATGTGTGCAGGCCATGGTCAGCACCGATGAGCTTTAGCTAAAAGAAAAACAAGGGATCTAGCGATCCTAATATTTGGCTGCGGTTTGCATCCTTAGCGCATGAGAAGTAAACAAACAATAATATATTAAAGATATCTAGTTTTTGACACATTCCCATCCACCCACACCCACATCCATCCATATCCATCCACTAGCCCATCCATCTCCACCATCACCACATCTCATCTTACACACTTGGGTCGACAGGCCGACTCCCTCTCGGCACTTGTCTCAACGGCCCGCAGCCCCAAGGCTCACGACCGGGTAATACCCCAAACCCTAGAGGGAGGAAAGAAGGACTCATCTCCTATCTAGTTTAAGCAAAACCCAGGAAAGGTCCATAGCCGACAAGTCGGCATATGTATCGATCGATCAACCATACACTCTGCAGAGGTTTTACATACCCACAAGATTAGCCATCCTCAAAGTCTAGAATCCCCTAGGCAGAATTCCGATCGCTTGCTAGCATAGAACGATGCCACCCTACCTCTCAGCCCTGGAACATCCCAAGTCTAGTCTGGGATGGCCGATACTGTGAGTCGTAGACAGAGCCGGGGCCCTCCGAATGTCAGGAGCCGGGTCCACAAGGCCTCCTGAAGTCTCGGAAGGGTGTGGGGGAAAAATAGCGCGCCCCGTACCTCCTTGCACACGTTCGTCTAGCAGTAGTGGCATCGCTCTACCAAGTAGTCCGACCGTCCCGCACCATATAGGGCGAGTGGGATGTAAAGGATTCCCGGTGAGTCTGAGTACTAGTAAGTCCTTAGGGATTGACCAAGCCAGAATGTCTTCATCAGGGTTTCCATTTTACGTGCCACCACAGCACCTCCACCCTGGGCTCCTCCCATCACAGGTTCACACCCAAGGCCACCTCCAATTACCATTTACCCGCCACAGGTATTCCATATCCAAGTGCCCAGGTAGCACCACATTGCAAGACTCGCCCTAGGCTCGTCGTTATTCTAGCTCGGTCGACGCAACCCTCACTCCCCACGCACCCAAGGCACACACGCAGCACGCTCATACACCATCGAGTCCGGCTTCCCAAGCCAAACCATTCCCAGGGGTTCACCACCAGCATCACATCCCCGATATAATGCGAAGTGGAGTTAATAATAAGTATAGTGGTGTAATATGCAAGCAAGCAGGCAAGTCAGCATGTATAAGTGAGCGAATGCACAAAGCAGGGTGACGTGGTAGAGTGGGTTGCATCAGGGTGATAATGGCTCAGGTAGTAGCAGGCATCAATATACTAGCAAATGATTAAATATAAAGCGCTAGCAGTTCTAGATATTATGCAATATCTAATAGGTTTCTCTAAAACAATGTGCTGCCATGACACCTGCGATGTCGAGGTAGTAGTGGTACAAATCTTCGTTAGTTGATGTAGTCGATCAGCAAGGTCTCCTCTTCCCAGGGTCCTATCGTCGATCACGTTCTCCTTCTCCATCGGGTTCTGATCCAACGTTGTCCTCGAGGAAAATTCCTCCAAACACACTCCAGGCAAGAGAACAAACAATATTCCAAAAAGGCGACAAGACCCAGAAGGAACACAAAGAGGAAATGACTTTGGCCCTCTCGGCTGATGTCCGATCCATGGGACAGAGAAACAGGAGTGGTT